TGTTTGTTGAATATTTGCTATTACAAATATATATCACTTATATGCTTGGTGTGTGACAATCTTAGAGTTTTCACCAACAAGGGAGACCAATAGTTTAAAGGTATAGCATATGGTTTCAACTATGCACAAAGAAAACTTTGGATTACACCTTGGGTTTGAGTGATTCATATATTGAGAGTTGGAGAGGTAGGGACACACTTGGGTAAAAAATAGGTTGTTCTTGGGCACCTTCAGGGTTGTTCTTGGGAACCTGAAGGCGAATGTTATTTTCTTGTGACTCGTCTGTAATCTCTTGTAACAACTTTTTGAGTATAGTGAACTGAAGAGCTGCTATCTCCCCCAGAGTAGATAGTTTGATCGAACTGGGTAAACAAACCTTCAGTTTTTCTTGCCTTATTCTGTTATATTATCTGGGTGCGAATTATTATTGCTGAAGACCATTTATTTTGGTTGCTATTATTTTTTGCCTCACAAATTGATATTGAATTTTGTCGTAATTTACAACAAGATTCACAACACATCCGATATATAATAATTGGCGGGGGTGAATTGAACCTAAAGGTTAGTGTGAAATTTACACGCTTTGAATTTTCAAGTACGGTCTTCATTAACACCTTCTTTGTCTAGTGTTGCTACATATTTTTCAACAACCACAATATCCAACAATATTTAGATTCAATTATTAGTTAATCAATGGTAGCGTGACTCAAAGAAATGCCATCTAATTTTGTGAAATTGGATAAGTTTGATGGAGGAAACTTTATCCTTAGAAAAAAATATGAAATTTTTACTTACAACTTTAAAAGTGATATATGTTTTGAATACAATAAGACCAGTAGAAATAAAAGAAGGAACAATCGTTGAAACAAGGGAGAGACAAAAATGGTACAATTATGATTACATTTGCATGATTCATATTCTCAACGGTATGTCAAACTCATTGTCCGATATTTATCAAAGCAGTGAATCCGCAAAAGATCTGTGGGATAAACTAGAGTCAAGAAACATGCAAGAAAATGCTACAAGTAAGAAATTTCTTGTCTCCTATTTCAATAATTATAAAATGGTAGATGATATACCTGTTATGGAATAATTACATTAAGTTTAGCGTAATCTTAATAATTACAAACAACACAAAATGCACATGGACGAAACCACCATTATGTCTTCCATTCTAGACAAACCCCCACCTTCATTGAAGAATATAAAAAGATCCTCAAACATAAAAAAGAGGATATATCTCTTAAATAATTATATAATCACCTTCATTTAGTAGAAAAGTATTGCAAAGAAGAAGATACTAAAGACTAATTTACTAATGAGAAAATACATGTTGTGGAAGATGAAAAATCTAACAAGTCCAGGAATAATATGGACATAGATGATGAAGATGTTCATGACAACAATGAAAATAGATAAAGGAAAAGAAAGAGAGGAAGTTGCTTCCACTGTGGTAAACCATGACATTTTAAAAGTGAATGTAAGTTCTTGAAAAATATGAACAAATAGAAGAACTCAAGTGCACGAAAGGATCGGTTTGTTGCATAAAAGTAACTTATAGTAATTACTCACTTTTATGAATGTATTCGGTGTTGAAAAATTTAGAATTAAGTGTGTTGTATATAATAAAGTGTGGATGTATTTGATTTGTATAATTTATTGTGTCGTATATTTATATGAAAGTGAATTTGTATTTATTTACAAAGAAATTAAATATAAAATTTGGTTGTTATATATTTTCATAAATATTGATCATAGAGTATTGAATTTTTCTCTAGTAATGATTCAAATAGTAAGATATCATTATCTAAAACCATGATATTTCCATAAATATGAGATTTAATTATATTTGGTAAATGGTGGAGAATTGTAAGAGATTTCTAATATATGAAAGTTTATACTTCTGTGATAATTTATAATATTGAAAAGCAAAATTGAGACAATGAATTGCATGACCTAGTGGTAAGAAAGCGTGTTCTCCAACGTTGACTACTTCTTATTCTGGCATTAATGATTTTCGATCCGCCTTGCCAAGATCCATTCAAGTAGATTTAAGGGTCTTCCCTTTTTTATTATAGCATGCACAGGCCCTACCTAATGGTTTTTGAACTGACCGAAAGTCCTGCTTAAGGAGTGGCCTTAACGGATCTATACCTCTGGCCTTCTCCCTTTGTTAGAGATGCCTCTTCAGTCTATTGCTCAACGGCCTATGGCTTCTAGAGTAGAGATAATTCCTAGAGCCTTTCCAGACCAGATAAAGTCCTTCTATCCAGGTTTAAGCTATGGCTTCGATTAAGAAATTATCTTCCCGGCTATAAAGAAAGTCTTAGGCCCTCCCCTTACTCTAAGGTCAAAGTCTTTACCGGTACAGAGAAGAGATAAGAACTATTGTTCGCTCGTACGTATCAGTCTATTAGATATTCTTTTTTTCCCTAATCATGTTCCAAAAGGTCCCAGTACCTACTTTAGTCATCTATCATTCTTCTTCCTTTCTTGCTATACGCAATTTCTTTTTTATCCCTGGTACAAAGAATGGAAGCAGTAAAGCTCACTTATAGTACTCAAGTGCACGAAAGGATCGGTTTGTTGCATAAAAGTAACTTATAGTAATTACTCACTTTTATGAATGTATTCGGTGTTGAAAAATTTAGAATTAAGTGTGTTGTATATAATAAAGTGTGGATGTATTTGATTTGTATAATTTATTGTGTCGTATATTTATATGAAAGTGAATTTGTATTTATTTACAAAGAAATTAAATATAAAATTTGGTTGTTATATATTTTCATAAATATTGATCATAGAGTATTGAATTTTTCTCTAGTAATGATTCAAATAGTAAGATATCATTATCTAAAACCATGATATTTCCATAAATATGAGATTTAATTATATTTGGTAAATGGTGGAGAATTGTAAGAGATTTCTAATATATGAAAGTTTATACTTCTGTGATAATTTATAATATTGAAAAGCAAAATTGAGACAATGAATTGCATGACCTAGTGGTAAGAAAGCGTGTTCTCCAACGTTGACTACTTTTTAAATGTTTATTTTTACTAACGGTAAAAAAAAAAAAATTCAAAATGAAGCCATGCAAGGGTCAAACTCGCAACCTTTGGATTACACCCACATGGCTTTACCAACTAGATCATCACATCCTTTGTGAAGTATTGTGAACTTTATAATTAGGTGCATCATTCATTTTCAAAAGTTATTTCTCTTCATCCAGTGACATGAATTCTCTATAAATAAAGACACTTGAGAAATAGAAGGGACACAAAAATAGAAATATACACGTCCATTTTCTCTACCATTTTAATTATTCTAAATCATCCTTTACTTTATTAAAGCATGAGTAAAGTATAAGAAGCATTTTTCTGTAATCGATTATCGAAAGGTAAGCTTAGTGTTTTTGTGTAATTTACATTAAGGTATTCAAAGTATCCTGAAGTGAATTCGCCGTTAATCCCTATTGCATCTGATATATAATAATTGGTGGTGGTGAATTGAACCTAAAGGTTAATGTGAAATTCACACGCTTTGAATTTTCAAGTACGATCTTTATCAACACCTTCTTTGTTCTAGTGCTGCTACATATTTCCAATAATCACTTTTGTCTAACCGATTACCACTAAGTCAGTAGCAAACATAAGCAACTTGTAATCAGTTTCATGCATGTTTGGTGTAATCGGTTACCATCTTTGCCAGAATCAAACAATAGTTTCATGTAACCGGTTATAGTTTTTATGTAACCGATTACATGCTCGAAAATCTTGTTTTTATATTTAGCTGGTTAGTTATACAATTATATATTGTTGTATAAATACCCCAAATTAGTTTATTAATAATAATGCCACTATTTTCACCCTATTCTCTCTATTTCTCTCACTCTCAACATTTTTCACACTTGTACGTCATTGTTCTCTTATGATTGGGTTTTGGCCCAACAATATTGTCCTCTGTTTTTTTAAGTAATAGTCAATAACTCTATTCATCTTCTTCTTCTTTATTCGTTTGGTTTTACATTAAATATTTTATAAATTATTCAATAAAATAGTCATTATGTTGTTATCCGTTATTCTATTTTTGGAGTTGACCGCTCCGCTTCGCTATCTGGGATTGATTGCTTTGCACCCTAGCTATTGTTGATGAGGGATTTATGTGCTTGCAGGTATAGCTGTCAGTTGATTTTGATGATGACAACTGATGAAGCAACTTTGAAGATGACAACTTCATAAGTTAATGACTTTTGGATGTTGAGAGTTGTTTGTGAGAGGGAGAGTTGATTTCAAGTGCCAAGTAAAACTCATGATGTTGACACCTGATCAAGAAGATATCTCAAATTCCATCAGACTGTTCAAAAATCTAAGTGAAGTGCTAATCAAAGTTGATGAATCAAACATAAAATCTTGAAGTTTGAAAGAGAGAAAGTGTGATAGTTTGTCTAATCATGCGCTTGACGTTCTAGAGGGATCAATTTAAACATAAAAGGTCAAAAATAAGTAAAATGAGACAATCACACACACAAAATCTTTTTCAAACCTTGAGAAACAATGAGATGAAAGAAAAGAGAGTGGTATACCTATCAGTAAAGTATTGAAATGACTAAAGTATATTATGAGGTATTAGTATATTGAAACTGTCATCATATCTAGGTAAATAAAAAGAAAGAAAAATGAATCTTTACAGTTTAGTCTATTTTAAAATGATATACTTCCCAACAAAGAATCATACTACATTTACAAAGCTGAGAAGGATCTGAACCAGATCAAAAAACAAAATGAAGTTCTTTACAATTCATCCAACCTACCACATGAATAAGCCAAACCTCTTTCTCATATTTTTATTTCTTAACTAGCATTTTAATTCAATTTTTCACTTAGAGTCTAGTTTTTGATACGAAGTAAATGGTATACATAGTGCATGTTTGGAATCACATTAAGTTTCACAAAATCACAGCGACTGTGGAGTTAAGAATTTAGGATGAATGAATCCATTCAAAGCATAGAGCTAAAGCTTTCAATGGGATCAGATTCTTCAAGCATTGTAGCTGCCTGGAAGCAGTCAGCAGCATCACCTATTCGACCACCACTCCTGTGAGTTAATCCGAGGTTATACCAAGCATTACGGTTAGTTGGTTCTATTCTAAGTGCATCGGAAAGTAAGCTCCTACAAACAGGAAATGCTTCGGAACCATTTTTAAGCATCAAAGAAGCCATCAAGATCTTGCTTGGAACATGGTTTGGTTCAATTTGGACAGCATTAGCAGCAGCCGCAAGAGCTTCTTTGGTTTGTCCACGACCGTCAAACACGACACCTGCTACAATCACATTGATATTAGTAAATGTATATCGAATAGCACTTTTGAGAGCATAAAGGTTCTCTTCTTGCCTTCGGTTTGTATTGTTGCGGCAGAATATTGCTTCAACTCTCCAGCCTTTTGCAAACAGATATCAGCATCCTTCCAATGTGAAAGGCTTGCATATAAATTTGCTAGACCGTGCCAAACATCAAACTCGTTTATTTGATCTTCTGCATCCTACAAAGTGTTATTAAAAGTAATGTTAGTTTTGAAATTGGCAATATCATCGCAAATTAGTATGAAATATAAAACATAATAATTGCAGAAACAAGAGAAGATAGGAGAATCTTACTTGTGAACCAAGTTTTTGAGCTCCAGCGGATTTCTTCTGGGCTTGAACCAATGAGAGAAGGTACCGGTAAATCTCAATAGCATCCATTGGTCGTAGTTCGGCGATCTTGAGCTTGGCTTTTATCCTGAACAGAGGCCCTTGCTCCCATTTTGTGGTCTCGTCTATAGCAGCATCAGTCACCATTTCAGCCTCTGAAAATCTTTTCTGTGCAGACAAAACCAGAGAAAGTAATCTCCAACCTTTCAATTTGGAGCCACCAGTTTTATCGAAGAACTGCTTGGCGTAACGTAAAGCAACAGCCAAGTTTCGGTGCACGGCATATTGAATAGCCAATTCGAAGATTAGGTCGAAATTGTTTTGCTCTAATCTAAGTGCCTCCTCTAATGATTGCAAAGCTTTTGACTGAAGCATAGACCTCTCGGAATCAGAGGAAGCAACCTTAGCTTGCTTTCCAAGGCAAAGTCCAAGCATCCGAAGACCAACGCCTTTTAGATGCTTGTTTAAGCCCTGAGCTTTATCGATTGCCCTCTGTGCATACGCTGCTCCCTCAGCAGCAAGATGAGGATCCTCACTGCAAATCCTTGAAGCCAATAATAACGATATAACATCGTTCGGTCGCTCATGTTTATGCAAAGACTTCCTTAGCAAATTCAAAGCACTTTTATTTTGTCCATCCGCGCTAAGACATAGAGCTAAAGAGTTCCAACGGTCAATACGATGATATACACCAGGAATCAAATCTTCAAACTGTTTCGCCAAAATAGATGTTTCGCCACATGCCGAAAGTGCAAAAGTTAAATGTTCCATAATTGAAGGATCCCATTTTATCTTGCCTAGGCTAAACTTTCTTAAAAGAATCATAATAAGAAGAATCGCCTCTTCCAGATTATTTTTCGGCACATAAGACCCTTCAATCTGAACCGAAAAACTAGGCGGACTCGCCTCCACCCCGCTGTAAAGCAAAAATACCGCAAATGCTTTCTGAATTCTCGCACAGCAATCATTATCAAGGTTCCATTGACTGAGAAGGGCGTGCCTGTAAGCAGTTATTGCCTCGTTATAGCAACCGGCTTGTTTCCAAAGCTCTGGAAGAAGCTCCACTGCACAGCTTACAATCTCCTGCAATCTATTGTCCACTTGAGTATCAGGTATACCCTGACCAAATATCTTTTCAACAGCATCTAGAACTTGCTTGCATTCATTAGCAGCGTCTGCATAAGCCCATGAAATAAGCATTTCAGTGTTGATTTGATTCAGAGATAGACAACAACTTTCAATAGATAATAATACAATATTCAATACCATTAAATTTCCCTTGTTTTTGGAGAGACTTGGCTTTTAAGTAGATGGCTTCAAGCACCATACTAGCAGCATGCTGAGATTCCGAAGAAGGTGATTCGGCGCGAGCGGGACCTTTCTTGACGGGTGGCTTCTCCGAAACGGAAGTTTGCAGTTGCTGTATGGCTTCTCTAAGATCGATCCCATCAAACACAAGAAGAGCACCCTCAAAATTACCTCTTTGATACTCAAATTTTCCGAGTAGAGCTCTCGCTTCCTGTTATAGTTCATAAGCGAACATGAATATAAACTCATCATATAATTGATTCATCACCAAATCCAAGAAGTTTATACAGAAACAGAAGGCAAACGGGCAACAAGCTGCGCCGCATCACATTCAGATAACCGCATTGGTATACAACATCAATCATCACAATGCAAGCAGAACCTCAATTGAGAAAAGGTAGGAAAAATACCTCAGAATTAAGAGATAAACCATCACGCAATGCAGTTTCAGCGTCTTGAATCTTTCCTTCATCAAGCATAGCCTCAACTTCCTTTGCGTTCATGCAGCTTCCATTTGCGCAAAACTCGCGAACGGGAACATTCTCATTGGACGCCATCAATCCTTCATTCATTCAATCATTCATCTCCTCCACCACCTGCATATATTGATGGATCCAAACGACGCCGCTTTAGATCGTTAGTTATTTATTTATTTTTCTTATTTTTAATAAGACTCACGTGTGAGGCGTGATCATAGATAATAACGGATGAAGAGAAAGAGAGAAAAAAAACTATGAAGATGAATTGTGAAAGGAGATAGACCTTAGTTAGGTTTCGACGAGAACAATGTGGGGTCGGAACAGCAACGTTGGTGTTTTGTTTGTTGTCTTGTGTTAAGTTTGGTTTGTTTGAAAATGAAAACGCAGAGAAAGAATTGAGGACGAGGGTGGTATTTGCAGACAGAGACAGGTAAGCTTGTCGGGACAACCGCTACTTTTATATACAAAGAGTGGTAAAAAAAGTAATGTCCGTGAAGCAAATTTAATTATATATAAGCTCTATGAGATAAAAAGTTATTTTCTCATTTACTTTTTAATTATGCTTCTCTGGTCATGGATGACAATGAATATCCTAATAAGCCACTACTAGTCTCCCGGATATTCTCCTTCAAGGCCGTTATATCAATCTAAGGATAAAAAAATTTAAAAGTAAAAAGTAAGTTAAATACTCAAAATACCTAAATAAAAAAGAGGGCAAAAATGGTAATGATGACCTTGACTTCTCGCCCATTAGTTATAATAGAGACGATATTTTTTTACGCTGTAACTCTGGCGATAGCAATGATATCGGTGCATATCAATTAAATTATATATATATATATATATATATATATATATATATATATATATATATATATATATATATATATATATATATATATATATATATATATATTTGTGTGTTAGACGACATACTTCGATCTAGAGAGGAGTGAATAGATCACAAATTTTTTTAACTAAATATTTTGGAAAAAATCTGTTTTTAAAAATATGGTGCATCAGTAAAACGATCTAGATCAAATTGTCTAACCGAACCTACTATCGAAAAGTTATATGTGTATCGCAAACCAAACAGAATGATAATGAACGTAAATGTTCAACAACAATCAAGATACGAATCAATTAAGTGCAAAGTTATTTGTAACTCGTATATCCAATGAACCAAAAGACAATTAAAATACAGACAAACAATTTATTGAACACTTGGTGTGCAATCGATACGCACAAACAATTTATTCGTAACTCGTATATTCAATTTGTTTAGTTGATGTTAAAAGTCAATCACAATCAAGGTGATTATGATTATGATTATGATTATATCAACAACAACACTTTTAAAAGATAATTGAAAAACAATTTCCAATCGAATTGATCAAATAACGACGAATTCGATAAATTGCAAAATCAACAATTAAAGTGATAAAGAGATAAAAGAGAGAGAGAGAGAGAGAGAGTGACCAGGATTTGTTTAGATAGTTCGCCAATCGACATCGCTATGGGTACGTTTGCCCTCAATTCAAATTCGAATTGAGATACTTGCAATTAACCTTTTCTTTGTAAAATCGTTTATACAAGAGATGAAGAATGCAAACCCCAAAAACCCTATTGTCTTATGTTGATTATTCCACCTCCAAACCCTTGATCAAAAGCTTGATCAAGTGATCAACAATGCGGTTACAATCCTCCGATTATCTTGAGATCGGAACTTGTTGAACTCAAGATTTCCAAACACAATTCACCATCTCGCGCTACTCCCTTGCAAGAAAACCACCTTGTACCAAGGCTTTACTCGGTCGAATCTGTGTTGACATGATATTTTCCAAAACCTCCAAATCAAATCGATCTTGAAGGAAACCCCCACATTGGGTTTTGGGTTTCTTATTTGAAACACACAAAGTTCTCAAGTCAATGTTCTCGGTTACACCAAACCTAATTAGATGTTATCAATCCTAATCTAGATGGTCACCCAATCGAAAAATGATTATGTGTAGTTCAATTGTGTGTATGCATAGAAGAAAGGTTGAAGATGATGGGCAACTTTGTAATCCGGTTTTGTTTAGGTTTTATCTCTAGAAAACCTTTAAACTAGAAGAAGGTGATGTCGTATGTAACACCCATTTTAATTATTTAGTCATTTTATTATTATTTTAAATATTATGTGTTGGTGTGCCCTTTGGTGGGGGTGTATTTGGTGATGTTTGGTGGGTGTCCCTAATGTGGGAGGATTATTGGTGGTGTTTTGGTGAATATAATAATATAGTGTATAATATTAATATTGGTGGGAATATTATTATTATTATATTTATTATAGTTACTATTGTTATTAATATTATTATTATTTTGGTGAGATAATAATATTATTATTATTATTATTATTATTATTTTATTAAGTTATTATTATTATTATTATTAAGTTATTATTATTTATTGGGATTAGAGAATTAAAATAGAGAATATGAGGGGTTAGTAGTTTTTACGATACATTGTGAGAAGTTAGAGAAAGTGGAAAAAGAACGATAGAAAGGAGAGAAGTGAGAAGAACGGAAAAGGGAGCGAAGAACGAAGGAACGGGGGAAAATCAGAATTGGCCAAACCTTGGAGGGTTCTTTCATCGATCAACCGATTAACAAGGTAAGGGGGGAGAAACCTGATTGGGAATGGTTTATACATGTATAGGGTAGTGGGGAGTCCTTAACCCCATAGGAGATTGATCGATATATGATTTTCTGTATTATATGTGGTGATTGTTGTTGATTGTTGATGGTTGGATATTAAACGTTGATGAATTGTTGTTTTTGGCCAATTTGGCATATAGGTGATTTTACGGTTTTTAGGGAAATTCTGTAGGGATTTTGATGTATCAATAAAGTGTCTAGGTGATGATTTTGGGATTGAGATTAGGAATCATTTAGGCTGAATTACGTGTAATGTTGGTACTGATGTTAAGAGGTGAATTGGAAGTAGGAAGTTTAACCCATTTGGCTTAGAAAGCACTCTGCAGAACTGTGAGAAATTGGTGAGATCGCAGCATTCGCTGGGCTTCGCCTGGCGAGTGGAGGCGAGTGTTCTCCTGGCGAGCTGAGGCGAATGGCAGCGAATAATTCAGAATTAAATCCCAGACCTAAAGGGTAGGAACTTCGCCTGGCGAGTGTGGCTAGCGAAGGTTCGCCTGGCGAATGATCCCTTCTCCTGGCGAATACACGATAGTGGAAAGGGGGTTTCGCCAGCAGGTTCGCCTGGCGAATGCTAGCGAAGGTTCGCTACGGGGCTTCGCCTGGCGAATGTCAGCGAACGTAGCAGAACCAGAATGTGAGTGTTGTGATATTTTGGCCTTGAGCTCTGGACTTGTGTGCTTCCTTTGGCCTTGATGCCATGTATGAATGATGACTGTGGGAATTAACTTGTGTACTCGGTGATAGTACATGTTTCCCGTAATGATGACTGGTGGGCAATTAGTTGATGTATATGTGGGTAGTGATCAGTGGGATCGTGTATTCCCCGAGTGTTGGGATGTGTTTATACTTGGTGTTAGAATGTGAGATTGCTCACTGTGTGAATTGATTTATATGGTGTTGGTGTATAATATATCTATGCATATATATATGATGTATGATGATATGATCAGGAGGATCGTGTGCATTTAGTGTGCCTGAATATAATAGTTATGCATTGGTGTTGTGCATATCATGGTGTTTTGGTGGGATGAATCATGTCTCAGGAGGAGCGTAAGTGATTCATCCGTACTCCTTTGTGGAGAATGGTGGGGGATAGATCATGTCTCAGGAGGAGCGTAAGTGATCTATCCAGGTTCGATTGAATGAACCAACGAGTCGGTACCGCATGCATGGTGTTGAGTTGCATTTTGCATTATAATATGTTATATTGTAATTTGAACAGTAGGTTCGTCATATGGTGTTGTTAGGGGTGAATCTTGGTGTGTTGGTGTGTTGTACTACCTTATTTACATGTATTACATTACCATTATATTTTTGATCATGTTTTCTCACCCCTTTGTTGTTGTTGTGGTCTGTGCTTCTTCGGAAGTACAGATAATCCAGGTGCTTAGCTAGCTTGGATATTGGTGTGATTGTCGAGTCTAGGATGCTCTGATACGTAGCACGGGACTTGGGCGTTTTTATTTGTTTTATGTTGAACTTATATTTTATTTCCCTGTGAACGTATCAAACTTTTATTGAATTTTATTATTTAACATTCCGCTGTATTTGGAGAAAAACCTTTTTATAAGGAAACGTTGTTTTTATGTGATATCCCACTTGGGAGAATTGGAACTCTGATTTTGTTTATTTATAATGTTTATTAATTTAGAGGATTTTGGGAAGTGGGGTGTTACAATTGGTATCAGAGCAGGTCGGTCCGTCCGGCCAATGTTGTCTAGTGTTGTTGTTCCCTGGTATGCGACATGTGCGTAAAAACACTGTCGATACATGTTGTTGGTTAAGTTTGTCGGTAGAAGTGGAATGATTCCAGTGGGGGAGAAGTTGTATTTCTCCGGAAAGCTACAATTTGGTGGCTTATGGTGTTGAGGAAGGATATAATAGTTTGGTAAAGATGGTTTGTACCCCATCATGATTTCGGCTGTCTATTAACAAATTGAGGAACTGATCACCCTTAATCTCTTGTTAATAGGGGACGAGATTGTGTTGGATGGGATAGACGTATCTTGCAAGCTTGGGTGGCGTGAACAGTGAATAGTCTTGAGTTAAGCTAAGTGCTTAAGGAATTATTTTGAGGAATCGGCGCAAGACGGTGTCGAGGTGTTTATTTGGACGGAAACTTTGAATGAGAAGGAAAGTGAAAAATTGGGAGTTGTCCGATATTGGTGATTGTCCGGAGTTTTCCTACAGAGATAAGTGATTTACTACCGGGAATGTGAAGTGGAGCTTACAATCGAGTTAGTTTTTGGAAAATAGTCCGATATTGGTGACTTCGTATGGTGTGTTGCGTTGGGGATTGGAAAAGTTGAAGAGTTAACTGGAAGACCTTCCAGGAGAGAGGTTCCTTTTTTAGTGTGCTACCGTAAGGTGCACCAATTTTGT